AGGGGTGGGGCCCCCCGGTCTGCAGCGGGCCTGCCCGGCCGCGCCCAGAGCCGGCAGCGGGTTTCCATCCCCGCTGCCCCGGGGCAGCACACACGGCCCCAGCCGTGCGGCGCCGGTAACCGCCGCCGGTAACCGCCGCCGGTCCCCCTGCCACACGGGCATCTCCCACAGCTGCCAGTTTCCAGGTACTCTGACATTTGAGAGCGGGCACCAGGACGTGACGGTGCAGAGCACGACTCGGCCAGTCGTTACGGTACAAGAAAGGATTTCTGTGCCTCTAGAAGTCTACTCTGAAACAGTTAGGAAACAGCTACGACTCTGTAATTCCAGGATTCTGCCCTAAAGTGCAAGGACACTTCGTGCAGTCAAGGAGGGCAGAAATAAAGGACACTCCGTTGTCCCCCAAGTGCAAATACTATCCCTGTCTAACCAGAATCATCTACAAGAAAGCTGGAGAAGCAGATACTGGCACCAGACTATGCCAGCGTATGCTCCATTCATGCCATGAAAGGATGGACCTTTGAAAACTGGGCGGTACCTAACCAGAAAAAATTATTAAATTAAAAGTTTCCATTAATATTGGCACATACTGATTCATCTCCTGAAGAGTATTTAGTTGCAATAGTGTGCAATCAGAAAAGAAACTCTCTTAGAGCATTACATTAAATAGATATCTTCAGCAGTATAAAATGGGGCATGCCTTTTTTAATATATATATATATATATGTTTAAAATATGTTATTGAAACATCTAGGGAGAGAGATCAGTAAGTGGAGCAACAGCCGCACGTGGCAGGGAGCTGCAGAGACAGCCTGTGTTGGCAGGTGGCTCTGCAAGGGAGGCCAGCTCTTCCCAGTGGCACTGCCGGCCCCTCTGCCTGGGAGGCAGGTGACACCTTGGGTACCACCTCAGCACCCCTACGGACCACGGCAATGACCCCCACCAGCACCGCACGGGCCAGAGCGACAAGTGTGAAACCAGCACATGGTGGTAAAGGCGGTGAGTGTCCTGCCTTCCCTCCGCAGGGCTGACTCACTGGTATTTGCCTTGCTGTGCACACTGTGCGATGCTCTTTGCTCTGGCTTAACTCCATTTTTCCTGAAGCCAAGCACAAAGGGCCTTTTGACTTCTGTGGGAACAGTGTTCAGATGGTGCCAGGCTCTCCAGAAACATTCACGCAGTGTCCCCAAGCGGAGAGCCGCTACCCTAGCTCTCACTCTTGCTAAGCGAAGCGCCCTGCTGACTGCAGACGGTGCTGGCAGGAGCCTGCTGGGCGAAGGTGGGCGAAGGTCTGCAGTCGCTGGCCCAGAATGCTGCCTGCCTGGGCACGCCACCGCACCGCGTCATCTGGCTCACTTCTGGCATTACAAAGGATTGAGGAGGAGTTCCTCCTACGCTAACTAAAGGCAACCTCATCTCACACCCATTCTCTCATGGAATTGTGCTCTTCCGTGCAAAAATGCTGCTCCTGGGCCGACGCCAACGTGTGTGCTCCTTGTCTTCCATCTGCTGCCTTCGGCAGGAGCTGATGGTCTGAGCCGTGACCCAGGTTAAGCCAGCACAAAAGCCCACACATCCTAGATAAACCAGAGCAGAGCCAGTGAAACCGAAGGGGGGCTTGGACGTGGTCCGCTCCCTGGCTGTGCGCGTCAGCGATGCCAAGGGGGTCCCCTCTCCAGGGGCTCAGCCATCCCGAGGGAAGCCTCAGGGACACCTTCTACATGATTGTGAAGATGGTGAAATTCTCTTTCCTTTATTAAAGCAAAAATAGACAAGAAAACGCAGAAGAAAACACAAAGTACGAAGATATAGGGCAGGATGTGGACTTTGGTATTTCTTAAGCCTCTTTTTTCCCCAGTTCCTGCAGCAGCCCGTGAAAATAAACAAGGAAATAGTGTTAACTCTCCCCAGCAAAAAACGCACACAGGTGCTAGTGATCCTGGTTCCCACATCCTTCAGCCATCCCTCTAATAACATCATAAAAAGTCAACTTTTGAATAAAAAGTTGCAGAAGTTTACTTTGATGCTGAAGAGATGCAAGAACACCACCCCAATGCCCCACTCGAGTGCAGAGGGGCTCTGGGGTACTTGTTGACAAAGGCAGCTGGACTGCTCCCCTGCCCCGTCGGCTGGGGGATACTCCACGTGAGCTCCTGCTCCCTTCTTAAAGCATACGCGGTTGGAGAGGCAGCGTACACGCGAGTTGCATGCATCTGGCAGATGGTACATAGGCAGTATCCCCTTCTAAACCATTTTTCATTTGCACTATGCTTCCACCAGCAAATCAGTGTATGCAAATCCTTATTAAGTTTGATTTCTTCCCAATCTCCCAGCAGAAAAGTACCCAGCAGGATACCCCCGCTCTCACTAACTAATGAAAACTTTACTGACGTGACCTTGTGCAAAATATAAAGCTCTCCAAAGGGGCTATTCAGATTGCTCATAAACATCCTCCTGTTGATGACAGAGATCAGGGCATTACCGACCCAGTTATTCATTGTATTCTTCTGCTAATAGCCAGAAAATGTTCAAGAAGAGAGGAATGCACCAGCAGGATTTTTTTTACTGGTTCATTTGCACATATTAGTAGATCATATCAACGTTTAAAATGCTTGCAGCCCTCTAAAACAGGAAAAGCTATTGAGACACCGTCCTGTTGGCTGGCACTCAGGAAGGTTATCTATGGTTTCTGTTCCCACCTACATGAAGGTGTTTCAGGAAGAAGAGCACGATCAGAGCCATATCTAGCAGGGGAGAAAAGCCCATTACAAATAACTGTAAAGAGAGATCCTCCCCTTCGATAGTTTTGGGTTTTTTCCCTACCCCTTCCCTTAATGAAAATCCCATAGCATGATTGAAAAGTATCAGGAAAATTAAGCGTTTGTTCTTGCTGAGAGTTTGCAAAGAACCCAAAATACCATGAGGGCATTTGCCCGAAGAGCTGACGGTGATGCTCAGCTCGTGAGCGGCCCAAGCAGCAGAGCATTAGCACTGTTTTCTGCACGGCACGTGCGCGGCAATCAATTGGCCTAAACCTCATTCCCTTCACTTTCAAAGACGCCTGACAAACACAAGTAGCTGGTATTACGCAGGGGGAACACAGCACGACGCGAAGCGCTCGTCTGAGCAGGTTCACCTCTCCAGACTCCAGCGTTTGCTTCGTGCTTGTGGCGTCCCTGTGCCGGAGGACCACACCAGTGCTCTGGGCGGGCACAGCTCCGCCACAAGCTCCGTTCCGTGCCACAGCGGCGAAACCACCGCCCGCCAGCGAACCGCGTGCGGCAAGGCACGGACTTGCTGCTTGCCTGCGCTGGCACGAGGACCCCTTGTAGATGTCTGTGTCAGTAAAGCCAGACTGCGCCGCAGCCCCTGACGAGAAGTATTGCCCTGGCAAGAGCCTGTACGTGCCGCACTCACCGACACCCCGGCCAGGTCTGACCAGGCGGTTTTGGTGGGCTCACGGTTGTGCGGGAAGGGGGGACTGAAATACCGCGGGGAACGCAGGCTTGGCCACTTGATGGGAAGCAGAGCCCGCTAAATAAACAAATCTGAATACGGGTGTCGGGTAGGCCTGCATTTCCTTCTGAACTTGGGGTATGAAACGGAGTCAAGCCAACACTTATGCCTGAAAAAACGACCTGCTTTTCCCAGGTGTTCCTGACTGCTGGGAGTCACCAGCAGCTGCAGACCGATCAGCCTTTGCTGTTTGCTGGCTGTGGACCGAGTACCCCCGTTAGCCAGGGCGCGTTTATCCGTCCTCACGGCGGAGCTGCAGCCCGTGCTGCCTCAGCCCGGGCGCAGGCTGTGCCACCACCACGCCACGCGGAGCTGCTGGGGACAGGCGGTGCGCCTGGGACACTGCGCGTGGACGCTGCGCGTAGGACGGCGCGCGGGGGGGCAGGATCACCCCGGGCTGCAATCAACCCCTGCAATGAGCAGGAGCCGAGCGCACCGCTCGGAAGGGCCGGTCTCTTTGGCGTTTCCTTACAACCCCCTGAAGCGCCATGGCAGCACCAGCCAGTTACCGCAGCCGCCTCCCAAAGGACAGGATTAACAGCAGGAGTCCCGTGGCCTCGCAGGTCCCGCAGATCCCGGCCCCGCTGCTTTGCTCCCGGGATGCTCGTCTGCTGTCCCCAAGAATAGTTGGGACAAATGGAAAATAAGTAGCGTAGCTGGAAACCCAGGGTCTGCGGACACTCGGCAGGAGCAGAGCTGGTGAGGGGCTGGGCAGGGGGCTTCGGGTGCCCACGGGAGGAGGGGAGAGTGTGAGGTCTGAGGACGTCAGGCACTTGTGGAGGTGGGTACGGCTGTGTCGGAGGAGCAGCAGCTGTCGAGGATGGGAATGTGACTGCTGAGTGCCTGGGTGTCTGCGGGGCAGACCGAGATCCAGCTTGCCTGGCCGTAGGAAAAACATCCCAGGTGGAAAAGAGTAGCTACCCGCCATCTTTGGGGATTTCCGAAGGTCATCTTCCTCTCCAGCCCTTTTGCTGACAACCCCGTAATGCTCCATCAACTAATATGAATGCTCGTCCGCGCTGCTGCGCAGGCAGGGCTGCGGGGCCGCAGATGGCAGCGGCGTGCTGTCTGGAGCAGACCCCACAACGGCTGCACGGCAGCTTTCTGACCCAGCAAGCAGGTCCTGTAAATTCATCAGGCTGCAAATTCATCTCATCTCCCCAGCTCTTCTCTGTTTCTCTACTGCAATATTTTAACTCACCTGCTTCCCAGCACCATAATGCAAATAAAAAGTCCCGAAGGAGGCCAGTAAAGTAACCCACACCCAAACTTATAGGTTCCACCTGCTTCTTGTCTTGTTCTGTTTTTTAAAAAAACCCAAACCCAACAACTGCTGGCATTTCTCCCTATCTCCCGTGGCCCTGGGCGACTAAAAGTCACTGTGGAAAACACACAAACGAGAGAGTGTAGACACGGTGCCGCTGCCACCATGCCACAGTCCCCTGCCCCAGCACAGCGAGCCAGCCAAACCTAGGCAGAAGCCGTGGCAGGTAGTTCAGTTCAGAGGTACCTCAGGAAAAATAGAAATCTCAGGAATCCCAGCAGGTAGTCGTTTGTTACTGTCCGTCTTCTTGGCACACCACCTCTGTAGAGGGGATTCCACAAGGCACTGCAGTACAGTAGTGCAGAAGTAACAGGCAGGAGATGGCTGAAATGGGGGTGGCAGAATTGGGAGGTCCCTCCGGAAGATCACTGTGCGTGGAAGTAGATAGGCTTGACTTTTCCAGACAGGATCTTGGGAACCTGCACAGAGATGATCTCGGCCATCATTTCAGGGTAATCCACGCTCACCATATGTGCCTTAATTAAAAGGTCAAATGTAAACTGATGCAGATCCTTGGCAATCTGGGAAAGGAAGAAAGTTTGTTAAGCGAGAAGTCCCTGGTCAGCGATTTCTCTGAGAAGCTACCGAGCAGACATCAGCAGGGACAGCAGGTCAGGGCTGGACCTTGCTGCAGCGGGACCTGCTTTGCTCACTGGCCATCACCGCCCTGCTAGCAGTTACCAGCTGGCAGGTATGCATCCCGAGGATGAGCGAGGGAACTAGCCAGCCTGGGAGCATGTTGCATATTTTGCCGTGGCCCTTCACACTCAGACATCACTGAGTCCCACAAAAATGGGGATGTATGAAAATGGCACTTTCTTACTCCTACAGAAAGTTGTCTTACTGTGCGCAGATGCTGCTGACTTCACTTATTAAAAATTACTTTTTGCTTGTAGACATATAACTGTATGGGCATGGAGCTGAGCCCCGGGAAAGAGGAGGTCTAGTTCACATTCACCAGTACAACTTTAAGTCACAAATAGAGAATTTGTCTTCACTGCTGTAATCAGAAAAGATTCAGTGGGGGCGCTGAGATTTTGAGCTGTTCTGCTAGGCTGACAATGGAAAAGTATCGTCTACGAAGAGCTTTTCATTGCTAAAAAAGGAAGCCCATAAACCCAAGCACAAGAGTGGTTATTGCAGGGGGTGACAGACACAGATAACTTTCACTCCCTCAGTAGTTAGTGGCTGTCTTTTCTCTGTCGCTTAAGCTGGGAGCATACTGCAATACCATCCATGCAAAGGTGTGCCAAGAGTTAAAAAAATAAACCACAAAGAATCACAGAATCATCGAACGGCCCAGGCTGGAAGGGACCTCGAAAGATCACCTGGTCCAACCTTCCCTGGGAAAGGGAGCCGGGATGAGGCTATCTAGCGCCCTGTCCAATTGCATCTTTAAAACCTCCAGTGATGGGGACTACCACGACCCTGGGGAGGTTGTTCCAGTGAATGATCATTCTCACTGTAAAAAGTTTCTTTCTTATATCATGTCTTATGTGTATAGATAGACATTTCACCGTCCTCTCTTACAGGATGCACCGAGTCCAGGACCTTGGTGAGCTGGTAAAATCGCCGAGAGCAGGAGGTAGGGTTCTTCCTCTTGCAAGCGATGATACGGTCAAGTTCCTTAATGTAGTTCATTCGAAGTTCATCAAAGAGCTTCTGGTTCTTCAGGCCATCCACTGGAACTGGATGGAACATGAGAAGGAAACAGTAAGAGTTGCCCAGAGAGCGGAGAGAATAAAAGAGCAAGAGGAAGGCTGAAGAAGTGGTCAGTGCAGACCTAACAAGACAGATCTGCCCACCAGCCCTGCTTCCACTGTGGCCCTCACTCTGATCAGCTTGTTGGACTACTGCTAACCCAAGGACCCTTGTTCAGCACTCATTATAAAAGAGAGGCAATGTAACAAACTATTAGTTTGTCCGTGCTATTTTCGTGCTCAGCAGCTGGCGCTCAGAGGTCCCCATGATGACAGCAGTTAGGCTGAGGAGCAACCGCTTGCAGGAGCTGCACGGGAGAAATGCTGCAATGTGCAGAGATGGGATGGGCTAGCTGCAGGGGGGCTGGGTGGTGGCATCCTTATGCTTGGCAGCTTGCTGTCTCTGAGCAGCTCAAATTGAAGCAGAGAGGAGAACATCCACAGCCACCCCTCGGGAGGTACGAGTACATGCACACACACAGGGAAAGCACCAGATACCTCTGGGGCGATACAGCGCGTAGCAACTGGAGGTCTGTTGAGGAAAGGATGTGAGTACTTACTAATACTGAAGAACAGTAGAGCCTTCATACAGAGAAACTCCTGGGGTGTGATCTGAAGCCACCCGAACTCCTGAGAGAGGTGCCGCATCCTGACACATTGGCTGTACATTCTGGATTTGTGCATCCGGTACCTGGCAGGGCAAGATGCGCAACGCATGGCAAGGAGATCAAAGCGCTGCCTGCGTGATGTGTGGGGGAGGACACACTCTGCCCGACCCAGCAATCCCAGCCTCGCCTGGCACATCCCTGCTGCCAAGAACCTGAGCTCTGCCTCGGGGGATGCTGGCAGCAACAGGCCTGCATGCAGGAGAGGAATGTTTTCCAAAATGCCCCTGTGTAATCCTCTTCGTCTGGAAACGGATGACTACCTGGGATCTATGGGGTTGGTTTGACCCTCTGCCTTCCTGAAAAACGACTGCAACGATTCACCAAGTGTGGCTATCCGCAAGGGATGCGAAGCTGAGCTCAGAGCTCTCAGAGAGAAGGTGTGGTTTTGCTTACTGCTGTGCTTAGTTACTGGTTTTGAGCCCTTACACCCTACTGTCAACAAACCCTCCCCAACTCCAAGCTGACGGTACATCAGCGAGAACCCATCAGGAACTTACAATATACGTTTGTTTCTGTTTCTGCTCACTCCAGCTGACCAACCAAGCTGAAAACAGGAACTCAAATCCCTTAGAAAAAAGGCAGGTCTGTATGGACCGGCCCTTCACACCCAGCACCAGCACTTGCTGCTGCCCTGATGGAAGTCGAACCCAAGGCAAGGTTGAGGGGAAGGGAAGAAGGACCAGGAGAGACATTGCAACTCTCCTTATTGCTCCTGGAGATCACTGCAGAGCAATTAGAGGGGAAAAGCAGGGCCCTCCCATGCTTTGTTGATCAGCTCTGAAAGCACGATTACTCAAGCCGTACATTTCATAAGCGGATGAGAAAGCAAATTCCTTGTCTTGTTCTCATTTCTCACCTAGTCTGACCCAGACAAAGCAAAATATTAGGTGGTTGTTATTTCGCACTTACTCATTGAAGACCAAATCTGGAGCGAAGTAAAGCATCCTGGAATTGACATTGGTGAAAGATCTCCAACCCATAGCAAAAACCATAAGGCCCATCCAAGAGTACTGGATTATTGACATCTGGTCATCCACATGCAGGTTGCGAAATCCTATTAAAACATGAGAGAGGGAGGTTACAAATTAATATTGGCTTCCTGCAGTTACCAGGACTGTTTTCGTGCAGACTCCAGCTCTCCTGCAGTGCTACTCTTATGACAAGGTGGTCCACAGCCTAACCTCAGCTCGTCCCAGGACACAGACGGACAGCCGGGTGACACAACCGCAGCGTCAGCAGCAAGGTGCTCACACCCCGATGGGCAATCGGAAACAGCCAAAGCACAAAACCGCAACTGGAAGGGAAGAAAGGGGATGCCCAGGCACAAGGAGGGGATAAAGAAAAACACAAGCAGCAAAGTGTTTTAAAGGAAGGCAGTGGCAAGTCGTAATAAATGACATCTTCCCCCAAGAGTCTCAAAGATCTTCACAAATTGTATCTGAAGGCTTTGCAAGACCCAGTGAGGCGAACAAGCCTCATTCTGCAACAGACTGGACAAAAAAGGTACAGCAGGATGGGATTTAGTGACTTCCCAAAGTCCCGCGGGATAATACGTCCAGCTACGGGTGCTGAGCAGGTCCAGCTCCCCCCGCACCAGGCTCGCCCTGCCACAGCCCTCATTTCTGGCACTAATTACACCCCCAGACCAACTGAGTCTTACCGTGCCATATGCTCTGCAGTCATGGCGTAACCCCCAAAGCCTCCGCTCCAAAACATTCACAATTACCATGTGAGACAGTATGTCAAAAGTAAGTGAAATAAAGAGCCGATGAGGATTTGTTTGCTTTGCTCTGCTAACAGAAATAAATCAGCTGAAGGGGAGCAGGAGCCCCAGCAGCAATACAATTAACCGTATCACATTCTCCAGGCACTGAGGCAGAAACAAGCCCTCATTAATCAATTACCTCCTTTGGTGTAATTCTGGCACTCAAGGAAATAAGCGGAAAAACTTCCATTATTTTCAACCCATTAGGACTTCACGAAATTTAAGTAAATGGATTTCAATGTATAATGCTCAGAGCCAGCAAGTAACCCCGAGGCCTCATCACACGGTTAACAGACTGCTTCGGTTTCTCTGCCAAATACACAATGTATTTATCTAACGACTACGAAAATGAATATGAAAACCTCTGCCGAATTGCAAGCTAAAGAAAAATATCAATTAAATTCAAATTAGTGTTCTCAGATGGTGGTTCACAGTCAAATCCCAGGCATGTTTACAACACAGGCACAAACATCACCTCCAACACCGTACTTTTTTCCAGATACTTGTAAGTAGTCAAATGTAATCTGGTTTCAAGAAAATCGTGTGTTATTTCAATCAAATATTAAAGCAATTCTAGCACCTCCAGTGTATAATTATAATCCATTGAGCATTCCCAAGCATCTGTCTCTTGCTTGGGAATCTGCCAACTGCAAATGAGCACAAGTCATGCTTTATTGCTGACTTAACTTGCTTGACGTTTGAACACTTTCCTTTCAGCTTTCATGTCACTGGATTAAAAAACAGAAGCTTGCGTGCAAGTAGTGTCCTACCAAACCTGAATAGGTGATTTCCACCTGGAGGGCTCTCAGCTACCAGCTGAACATGAACCTCCTGGCAGCCAGAGTGAAACTCGTTCACAGCACACGAGTACAGACAAGGCGTCTGGGCAACTCAAGGACTTCACAAAATCAGTCATACTCATCTCTAGGACATGTCTAAGTTAGATTTTCATATTTAATTACAGTACTGCATGCTATAAAAAGCCTTTCTATTTATCCAGTAAATTTGCTCAGAGATGAATTCACTGCCTAGTAAAACCTAAGCCATTCACAGTGACCGCTTCCTTGAATTTCCTCCTGCTCCATACTTGCCACTGCTCTTTTTCCTTGCCTAGACTTTCTGAAAAGATTGGAAAAACTTGAGTTACTTGAAGAGGAGCCATGCTGCTGGTCCCTGCAGTTGAGACTTTGTGGTGAGTAGGCAGCGAGATGGTGCACGGAACGCTCCCACACTGGCACCGAGTGACGAGGACGAACATTTCGTCGGTCTGCTACACACTCACCCCCCCCCCAAATCCTTAAGGTTGGGGTTTTCCCCTTTTTAAATTCCTCGTTGAAGGAAGAATGCATCTTGTCCTCTGAGGGAATTAGCAGACAACGCTCTATTAAAAAACAGAGCGAACGTGGAAGAGCAGATCAGACTGAAGACTGACAGTCAGAACTCCCTCCGTAGTTTGAAGGAAGCTCTGAAGAAGGCTCAGCACAGCCCTCCCGACAGGACACCCCAGCGTGCCCGGGCGAAGGAGTTCCCCGGGAAAGATGCTCTTAACCACGCAGACAAGAAAACCCTGCGAATACGAGCGTATTTATGATGGCAGATGCTCTGTCTTCAAAAGAGATGCAAGAACTTGCCTATGAGAAGTTGGGCCCAAGAGGTGCTATAGGGCCAGAAATGAACTGCAAGCCAAGGCATGATGGAGAGGATGAGGTGGGGGCAAATCGGAGGTCTCTCACGTCTGGTTTCCCTTGTGCCTATATTCTGGGAGCCAGGCCCATAAATCCTACCACCAGAGAGGAAACCTATACACTGTGAGTTGGAGGCAGAAAACATACCTGCGAACAGCGAACTCTGTGAAATTTAACCCTAATTCACACAAATGACCCACCCCCCTTTTGCTGGGTTCAGCATCAACAGGACAAAGCCCTTGGAAACACCAACATCTACGGCAGAACCTCCTCATCCTGCTCGCCCCGTCGTGATGCTGCAAGCCCTGCCTGTGCCCGGGCAAACCAGCGCCAGAGCTGCCTCTGCAGGCGGCAGTTCTCACCTAGGACTGGCTTTCCCTTAACCACCGAGTATCAGCTTTTCAACCTATCTGGGGAAAGTATTTGTTGCTCCTAATCTTTGCTATGAGAAGGATTTTGGTGCACTTGTTCATTACTTTGTAATTATGTTCACTAAAAAAAAAATATTTGCGCAAGCTTTATCAGTGTTTAAGGAAAGGTATTTGAACACAACAGTTCTGTTGTTACAGGACTTAACGTTGGCTTTCTGCTTGTCCACAAAAACAAGTTCTAGAAACACAGTGGCTGACTTTTCTAAAAGGAATCACTGCTGCCATTCTGAGCTGAAATGCCTTGAAACAAAACTGATTTTCAGAAACCAGACACCTATCATTTCCTGGAAACCACCCCCCCTCCAGGCATCTTAGATGGTGTATGGCCAAAATCACTGTAAAAGAAAATAAATACAAACCTAATGCCACAATATATTGTTAATTTTTTAATATTGGCATATTTTGAAGAGACCCAAATGAAGCCATCTTCTACAGAAAGAAATCATAGCAAAAGTAAAATTAAATTTACTGATGACTTGAAAAAGATCAATGCATAACCTTTTTCGTGTGAATAATTGTAAAGCAGCATAGTTTGGAAATAAATTCTTTACATTCTCTCTTGATGCGCTGCTGTGCCAGAATGATATCTTCCTAAGAGATCAGTAGCTGAACACCTCACATGTTACCATAAGTAACATTTCTAATATAGACAAATACTCATTTTGTATCTGGAAATTTTATTGCCCAGAGAATGGAAAAAGATGCACAATTAATTATATACTTAAAGGGTGAGTTAGATATGTGGTAGGCAGTATATTTGAAACAGAAAAGCAAGCGAGCAAGCAATGGCCTGGAACACCCATAAAGCTCTAACTAATGGCAAGTGCACAGGGATGTTGCAATAGCTCTAATAAATAGGTCCATCTCCCATGATAGCCGGTGGAGTATTTCACCTGATCACATGTGCAGAGTTGCTAAAAACACAAAGGGTGTTCATCTGCCTCACTGGCAGCAGAGCCGCAGCCTGCCCGTGCCCTTCCACTGCTCCGCTGTGAAGCAGCCCTTCCCCACACACTCACAGTCCACTTATTTTTTGTAGACCGATTTCCTAACAGCTTCGGGAATGAACTGAAGACTTTTCGTTTGCTGCCAGTTAAAATGATATTTAAACTAACGTGTTTGAGTGCTGATCTAAATTAACTGTAACACCTTTACTGAATTTATGTATATGGAAAAGGGAAAATACATACTCCTTCCACTTACCTTGAAGTGGACAGATTTTATGGATTTAATCAGCTTTTTTAATCCTGTGTTTCAGCAGCTTTCTTGGCAAGCTGTGGTTATTTAATCTTTCCTTTCCAGGGAAATCACAGTTTGATTCTACCTTCTCCTATGCAGAATTTCAATTGCATAGGGTCCAAAGGGCCATACATTACATTTTCTCCACTAGACAGAGGCTGATATTGCTACTGCAGGCAAGCAAGATTCAGAAATGCTCCTACCTGATGCAGTCTTTTTTCTAGGATATCACTGAAACCTCACTGGAAGAAGTGCAGGAACACCTTGCTGCATATTAATCACTCTTGGTATACAGGTGATGTTCAATGCAGGACGCAAGGTTAATAACCACCTATTAACCAATACTAATCTATTGCCAGCATTATCAGGCTGAGGCTACCTCTATCACGGGTGCAAGTTCCCCCTCCTCCCACCAGCACAGTCATTGGAAAGTAACACCTTTGCCCCTTTACACTGATATATATCTTAACTGACACGCAGGGCTGCTTATGCTTAGTTAAGCCAACGCTTGTGCCAGATGTGCTTCATTAATGGGGAAAGGGGAAGAGGGGATAACATTCCACCCTGACTGCGGACCCACTGAGGACCACGCAGCACTTGCAGCAGCCAGCTGACGTGGTGCCCCTGCGGGGCAGGGGACAGAGCGAGGTTTGCCTGCTCGGCACCAGAAGCACCCGCTGAGATGCGCTGCTTTGGCTGTCGGCCTCGGGCACTGTTCCTCCTCACGGCCAAGGCAGGCTGTGCCATGGCACTGCAGCGGCCGGTCAAGCCCTCTGGTCTGCTCCCATCGCACCTCGCCAGCAACGGCGTTCATTAAGCAGCCTCCAGTCTCCCAACAGACCGTGTGAAGATCTTTCTGTTTTGATAAAAACAACTACATCCCACTGTTTTAAATTGCTTGGGTTTTGTTTCCATCACTTCTCTCCCTGCATGCATTTGCCCGCATCGCCCCTCTCCTGAGCGCACCGAGCGTCAGGCTGCCTAGCTGACCTGCAGACCCGGGAACTGAAAACACTTCTGCTTTATTAACCAAAATATCACTTAAATAAATTATAGATAGCAAACTACCTCTGGCTACGGGGTAGGATTCTGCAAGTTTACCCAAAAAGTGAGGCGGCCGCAGTGCGCGCAGGGAAGGGCAGCGCCTGGGCACAGCCGCCCGCCCCTGCAGCCGGCCCGGCGCTGTGCGCCTGGTCCTCGGCCGGCTCCCGGGGGAGCACCAGCGCCAGAGCAGGCAGAACCCAGCAGTGGATGAGATCCACCTCGCAGCGGCAGCTGAACTGTTGTTTATTCCTTCCCTGGAAAATATCAGGAGAATGACTAAGTGGCGAATTTGTGGTTATTACTGTTGAACCCCGGCGCTGGCACATGTCAGGGAACTGCAGAGAGAAAGCTGGGAAAAACAACCTGGCTTTGCCTCTCGCTGCGGAACAGTGATGCTAACGGTCAGGCCAGCGCCAGCTCCGCGGCCGGTGGGATGGGGAGGGCAGCCAGGCAGCATCCCACCACAGCGTGCCCACGCAGGAGAGCTGGGCTCCGTAAGGGATCCCCTGGCCTGCAGAAGGGGTTGCGGTTATACTGTAGCTGCCCAGAGAGCGGTGACTGCTCAGACATAGGAAGATTAGAATTAATTTTGTCCAGATGCCGTCACTGGCAGAGCGGGCGCGGGCGCCGGCCCCGGGAGGCAGCGGTGCAGCAGCTGGCACCGCTGCGCAGCCATGCACCATGGGATAGGAGATCAGGTGCAGTACAGGAGAGTAAAAGCCTTTGATAAGGGGGTGGTTACGATGAAAAATGTTTTTCAATGCACTCTCCCTTTCCATTAGCACTACCGCAGTTTTACAACCTCAGCCCCTGGATTGCCAGTCCGGTTTGGTGGTGTCTCCGTGTACTTTTCTGAAGAAATCTTGATGTCTGATGTAGATAAGCCGAAGAGAAAGCATGATTTGTCCCTGGTTTCACAAGCTAGGTGAACCTTTTCTGACTCAAGAATACAAGAAATAGAATGGGCTATTCTGCACTTAATCATATTCAGACCAACACCCCTCCTGCACCACCGGTCAAGCTACTTCCAGGGGGACTGCTGAATTTCTGACGTCTGACTGCAGTCAAACGTCTGACTGCAGTTCATCACCAGATTTTGGCATATAGTGGCAAACTTATTTTGCCTCAGTTTCCTCCTTTGGTCATATCACCCCGCACATAAAGAGCAGGATCCCTGTTTTCTGTGGCATTTCCCGAGGAACAGGGCCAGGGTGAGGAAGGCAGCTTGGTATCGTCCCCACGCCCCAGTCTCAGGGATGCTGGAAGGTGAACCGGATCCCGCTGCACCCAGAGTGATCTCAGTCTTCTGTAATTTCACTCATTCCGCTGGCAGGATTACAACATGCAACGGGCAGCGTGTTACAGACTGGTAACACCCAATGCTCAGAACCAAGGAGTGTATTCAATGAAACACATACATCACCGGGATGTTTTAATTTACAGCACCTGATAACTATCACCACTTGGAAACTTCCCGACCCTAATGCACTCCCATATCACGACTCTGAATGCATCATAAATATATTCCAGCAGCCTGTCACACAAGAGCAACCTGACTGCCAGGAAGAAGCCCCTTGGGATTTTGTATCCCTCTTTTGCTATTTTACAATTAATTGGCTTGTGAAATACAAAAATGGCACGGAAGGATCTCTCCCATCTCTCAAGCCTCAGCTACTTTCAGCCCAGTCTCCCCCATCTCACTTTCACATCGTGAAGTGGCACACTTCTGATTCACCTGGGGAATTTACCCTTTTCACCACTTCATGCAGGTTATGGGATGGGGCTATCACTTGTTTAGAGAAGACTTCTGCAGCTCTGGCGGACACAGCCCTGGAAGTGGAGCAAAACCCCTGCACGGAGAGCGGGAAGAGAGCAAGACCCTGAACCCCCGACCAGCAACAGCCCTTCCCACGCAGGGAAGCAGACGCATGCCTACACAATACTGTGTGCCAGGGGTTATCAGCGGGGACAGACCCAAAAGCGCAAGTTTCTACATACTTTGTCACCCCTTAGCCACCTCTCCCATCAACCAAGCCACCCAAAGGAGACAAACCTGCTGCTGCCGCAGCCTGCTTTATGGAGGTATTACACAGCCAGGCACCTCGTGAAGACGCTCCCCCAAGGAACTGTGTGACGGTGGGACATGGGCTGCAGACCACCTCCTTCGAAACCCACCCCAGGCGATGCAAGCAGGGGGCTTTAGGAACGTGCCAGGGAAGGGACGGGATTTGTTAGTTTTCTTCCTCACCTGGCAAGGCCTTTGCCCATTTGACCACGTAGACCAGCTGCCTCTCCCCGAGCTCATTCAGGCTGGTCAGCAGGTTGGAGAAGGAGTCCGGCTGGCTGTTGTCATGGCCGGCACATACCACGCCAGGCTCAATGGCCTCCAGGACGTTGAGGAAGATGGGCTGGCACTCATACCCATCAATGTGCGTCATCATCATCTTGGGAGCTTGCTCCTCTGTGGGGCTGCATGAGCTGGCTGTCTCCGTGTCATCTGGTGTCTTCAGGTTACCCAGCTTCTTCAGCTTGCGGGCTGTGGAAATGACACATTTTAGTGTGATGCTTAAAAATAAAAAAACCCCTTGAGGTTTCTTGGCCTCCAGCTCCATCACTTGTATTTACGAGGAAAGGGAAACTGACGGCCAGCAGCAGCTACTCCTTCAGTGCACGCCTCCCAAAGAGTGCCTCGGCGTCGCAGACCTCACCTAAGGACAAAAGGGAGCACACACTGCACAAGGAAATCCATTTGCTCGTTAATCCTATATGGAAAAGAACAAGCACGATTTACATCCTCAGCCGTGACCTGTCTCACATTAACTCCCACTTAGAAACGGAGAGGAAGAACTGGGGAAAAGAGGGAAGAGGTGACTCGATTCAAACAACTACTCACATGCAATTAAAAAGGGAAGCAACACAAGCAAATAAACTCAGTAAATGGACGTGTTCCAGGGAAAAAAGCCATTGCACTCGGATGCTCAAGTGGGATTGTGCCATCCCAGGCCAGAGTGGAAGCGGGCTGCAACTGACAGAAAAGCCTTCTCCCTGCCCGGGGCTCCTGCAGCCCCTGCTGCCCTACAACCAAGCTCTCCCAGCTGGGTCACTGCTCTACAAATATATTACGGAAAATACATTTCAAAAGCTAGCAGGTGGTCCCATGGCTGTTTCCCTGGAGTCTCCCCAGCTAGCCCACCAACGAGGAGAAGACTCGAGCAGGGGTGGCCTTGGTCTGCCAGCCAGCTTCAAGAGGAACGTCAGCAGAGTGGGCTTGTGGGGTTGGGACTGCAGGCAGCCAACGACTGTGCCCATGTCACCATGACGAAGTGTCTCTCCTGTGCGCCCGGCTGTTAATTACAGATGCCAGTCTGCTAGCAAGATACACCAAGAGCTTCAGATGCGTGACTTCAGAATTCTTGGAGTGTCAGTGTTCACCTAATTTAATACCTACATGACAGTGCTCAGCACAACACGGGTTAGCAGCCTACTGTAGATAGGAACAGCTTTCACCCCTTACCGACTCCAAAAACCCTAATTAATTAGAGAAAAAAAGCTGATGGCTTAATTCAAGCAGAAAATGTAACATCAAACCAATTGTCCTTGGGGTTTTGGCTCCTTCATTACATTATACTTATCTCAAATTTCCTTTCAGCTGTAATCAGAAAAACAAGCAGCAAAACATAAAAATGTCGAGTTAAAGAGCAGCTTTGTAAATCAATTCAAAACATTGATCTTTAAGTAATGTACTTTCGATGATCTACTGTAAGAGCAATTAAGACCGGCTGCTCTGTAAAAAAGGAGGAGAAAAGAGTAATAAAAATAAGAGAGCAACAGGAAAACAGGGCTGCAGTGCAGCGTGACATGCTTCAGCCATCGTCTGCTCAGGTGGCAGGCCAGCCAGAGCATCGAGCCTCCCCCCTCCCACCCCTCCAGAAGTCGCAGGCAGCACAGGCAGCACCAGGGTCTGGCAGGCTCCCGACGCTCTCCTCTCTAACCTCCGGAGAGCCGATCCCCCGGGACAGGTCAGGCACCGCTCTCCCTGGAAGCTGCACTCGGGTTTTGTTCTCGACAAGCAGCGCGGAAGGAGAGGAGCGCAGAATGCTGATCCCACGTTCCCAAACAACCTTGCGTTAATTTGGGAAGGAGGCACCGGGGCTGACTCCACCTGAGGCAGAAATCGTCTCATGGCTGTGCTTGGCACTGGACCCTTAGAATGCTGCTAGGAAAGAAAAGCTCCCAGGCTTAAAACAAGAAATAGAAAATGAACTGTATCTTCCAAAGATGAATAACCAGTGCCCATCAGGTCGTGTGCGTAACTGGAGCCCAACCCACACCATATAAAACACACACATAGTTTGGTCTGAATTTTTTTTCTTAAAATTGAATTATCTAGTACTAAAAGATATTGAGTGAAGTGAGAAGAGAGCAAGCAACCAACTATGCTGGCTCTGAGACTGCAGCGTAAACCAAATCCCTCCGTGTTGGAGAGCAGTGAACGTGGATGGTAACTGCTCTTATCAGAGGAGCCCTACGTCTGTGCTTTCCAGGAGCAGTTGTTCCACAGATCACTGAAATACTCATGTTACTAGATGGAGAAAAGCTTCAGAGGTAAAGAGTAGCTTATATTCAGTCATCTGTGCAAAAGCCCTTTTTGGTGGTCGCTCCTACTCAGCAGCTACTGGGAACAAATAAAAAAATAGAAGTTGAAGACATCTGTTATACTTCTATTCTGGGATGAGCTAAGCTAGGCAGAAGTCTACACCGTACTTCTCCAAACCAAGGTGGGACGAACCCCAGCACGTGTGACTGAAAACAGGCAGTTTACGGGCTCGGCTGTTAGTAGGGACAACAACGCTCAGGAAGCCCTGAAAAGCAGCTGCGGGCACAGCACCGCCCCTGCGTCACACCCACAGCGCATCTGCAATTCAGCCTGGGGCTAACTCAGAAAATATCGTACCTATTCGGAAAAAAGCTTAGAGGACGTAATTATACGGTATCACGATAAAATATTCACCAGTGCAAGAATCCCTAGGGAGCACACAACAGAGCGATTATAGAAGTGACACACATTTTAAGCGACTTAACCCGCCCACCCTCCCGCCAGGCGTTTCTGAAGCTGGTGAAGGAGCACTCCGGGCTCCAGCACGGATTTTTGATGAGTGCTGAGACTCGGGGAAGTTCTGGGGACCTAGAATAAAACGGCTTTTGCACTAGCAATGACAGAGAAATCCTGCCATCCCCAGGCACCGCACGCTGATTTCAGCTGCAGGCAAAACGACAGAGAAGCTGAAACAGGACTTGACTTATATCGTGTTCTTTAAATTTTTTAGTACCAGCAGCGTGCGGCTTGTCAAAACCAGATCCTGTCAAGCTACCTATCTTTTCTGGCACGATAATTTTAGTTGATAATTATAATAGTACTGGTATAGCAGACACGTTTAAGAGATCTGAGTCAATCCGGCCCACATGAATTAAAAAACTCAAATGATATAAAATCACACGGTACCACTGAATGATTTTAAATCCCTCAGGTGATACACCTCAAAAGTAATTATAAATGTTGAAACAACATCAGACAGGTTTGTTTCTTACAATGGTTGTTCATGACCCTTTGCTAGCGAATGTCTACTTTCATTCCAAAAAGAAAATGAACCATTGCTACTAAAGTCTACTAAAATCTGTATGACAATGCAAAGATGGGAAAACAGTAACGAACATTAAGGACTGATAACTGAACAGATTGATTAAGGTCTGCTGATAAGTTCAGTCTATTAAAGCAAACTAAATTTCACTGTAAGTAGATATATCGAGCAACTGAAAAAGTGAGCCATATGCAATGAAAGTCGAACTCCATCCTCGGCAGCCTGAACTCGCACCAAAAGCTGACGGACAAACACAGAGGCCCGAGCTGGCAGGACGGTTCAGTGGACACGGGACAAACAGGATCCCATGCCACGTGAAGGAGGAAAACGCTGGCCTGGAGAGCCTCTTACCACCGCCTTTAAGCACTGACGCTGCTGACACTGGGAAACTGTGATTAGACGTTCACCGTACGAGGGAGGTGTTCGCAAACTTGCAGAAGCTGTAGGAACAGTAAAGACTAGGCAATGCACCTTGGAGAAAGGAAGTAAATCATTTTACCTAGGTGGCTATGCAGAAGGCTAAAGGGTTATTAAGTCACAGCCAACAAATACCCACGGCAGGGACAGAAATTCAGTGAAAGTAGTTTTTTCAATCTAGCAAGCAAAGATGTAATAAAGATCCAGTTGCTGGAAATCGAGGACAGGCAAGATGAAAAATAAGGTACGTCTATCACAACACTGAACGCAATTAACTACTGCAACTGCGTGGCAAAAAATGTGTTAGATTCTCCACTGCTGGAAATGCTTACATTGATATCAAATGTTTTTATAAGACATGAGCTCTACTTTAACCACAGTAACTGGACCTGAATTAGGACTAAATACAGGTATGACTCATGCCTTGGGCTTTTACAGGCTATCAGTAGTTTTCTAGCCCTACCATCAATGAAATGAATTTTACATGTTTGGGAGGTTTTTCCCCACGACAGGACCAGCACGGAGCGCAGTCGCTAGGCTGAAGGTGCAGAGGAAACGTCCCGCAGCGCAGGCGGGCTGCCAGCTCCGGCCGAGGGCAGAGGCGCTTGGTTCTCACCATGGGAACCGCCTGCAGGGCCTCGCACGCCGAGATTAAAATGCACTGGCAGCAAACGAACGGGAAGTGCCTTAAATCGGGAGCTCCGCAGCTCAGCAGGAGTTGCGCGGGCCGAGTGATGTGCAGGCTGCGGGCTGGAGCGGGACGGAGGGGTCCGGATGCCCGTGTGTGCACGGGGGCTGGCAGGACCCGTGCAGCCGCGCGTGCGGCGACACACTTCTCGTGCACGGGGGGCTGGCAGGATCCGTGCAGCCGTGCAGGCACCAGCGCTCGCAGTAGGAATTGGTGCTGTGGGAGACGCAGGACAGTGCACCAACCGAACCGAGTACACGAAACCGGCATTATCACTTTTTTTTTTTTCTTTTGCTTTTCCTTCTCTTGGGCTTTACAGTGTTGATCAGGAGAGAAGATTCTGTTTAATGGATTTCAGCTTGCAGGTCAGAGTGATCTCAATCAATAATGAAGTGCTTCGACATATTGCCATTCTGTGCCAAAGCAGAGAGTCCTAAATAAGGTATTCAGTGTGTCACCTCCTCCTCCCATTAAACACACTGAGAGCTGCAGGTCTGCTGGTCACAGGCGGCTCTATTATAGCCTACAAGTGATTGGTAATTAACAGGCAGTTAAAAACAACTGTTTGGAGCTTGGAAGCATTTTCAAATGCTCTGCCTCTCTACTGTGGGAGAAATAACTGTGGACAAACTCATAGCATGCATGTTTCTAACAATTGCCTTTAAACCGACATTCAAAACAAATGTAAAACAGACCAGGCAGAACAGGTCAGGGTGACCCAAAGAGCTTAAGAAAAAAAAAGGGGGGGGGCTATCAGTATTAGCATTAATTTTGTCAGTGTGTCCTGCAGAAGAAGGTTACCCTGATGTATGTCTTCTCTTACTTAAGGAAATATCACCAGAAAAAAAGCACTTAAAAGTAAGAGCATGCTTGTTTTGGATGGCATTACGAAGCCCTTCTGCTGGCTGTGGACCAGGGAGCTGGGTTTGGCTCCTCACCCCTGTCCCCCAGCTCAGGAGCCCAGCAATCCCATGGGCAGGGTGGTGGCAGCATCCCGGTCCTGACCCTCCCAGGCAGAGAAGGGAAGGGTGCCAGAGGAGTCTCCCTGCTATGAACGGCCACCAGCGGCCATGAAAATGACTGTCATCAGGAACTCCTGCAAGAAGGCGTGCGGGCAGGCACGGCGCCGGGACAGGCTCCTCTGCCCTCGCTCCTCCCAAGCTGGGCTGGATGACCGGGGCTGGGGGCAGAACCAGTGAAGCAGAGGTGGAGATAGCCACCTGGTAACTTCAGCAAGCAAACTGCCCGCTTGGTCGCATCAGGTGGATTGGGCACCTCCCTGGTGCTCCGAAATTGCGGTGCGCCTTTGCACGTGCCCATACACATTGCTCCCAAAGTGCCGCAGCAGCAGCAGCAGCACCCTGCCGTTTGCCAACAGCTTGCCTGCGACGGAGGGGGAGTGTTAAGTGAAGGGTGGTCGGAGCTAACACACGGGGTTGATGTCACGAGATTTTAGGACTGCGTTACCTTTTGGGACGTTTGTTTTTTCTGCTTGCTACCAGGAGGAAAAGAGCAAGCTGCACGTCTCTGTGTCACCCCCGTCCAAGAGCCGTGTCCCCACCGCGCTCAGATTTACTACCCGCTGCTGCGAAAGCAAAGGGGAGCAGGCTGGCTCCTGCCCTGCCGACCGAATGTGTTTGTTGGTACCTGAGCTGTAAGAACTGTTCTGGTGAGAAATAAAATTAAATGCTCCTCGATGCATAAATTTATTGCTCCTCGATGAGCAATAAACCAGAACCATTTCGGTAGCAAGTTCCTCAAGACAACATTCCAGCAGTCCAGCAGCTCCGGGAGGCACTGCCCATCCCAGCAACATTTAAACTAAAATGTTGGCACATCTAACTAGCCAGGGCTCCCCCACTTCCCTGCGCTGTGCCTGACGCTGCCAGTGGCTTTCCTTTCTGTATCACCCGTGGACGCCCCTCCGCTTCGCTGTCAGAGGCCTTTTCATCATGGGTCAGGTCCATCAGCCCTGTTTTTCAGGGTATTTTCTTCTTCAGTCTCACATCAAATGAACTCAAAGATGAGCCACCCAGTGATCTACATTGTAGCTTCTAGATTTTGAGCAGAAAATGTCAGATTTTGGATACAGGCACTCTATCAGGTTTTGGTAGAGCTACAGGTTTTGGAACAGAGACAAACTGTAACAAGGATCTTTACCAGAGATACAGGAGCAACTTCCATTCAGTGAAGAAAAATACTGGGGCTGTAATTTTATAAAGAAAAATGCCACTTTCTGCCTGGGAAAAATCATCTTAAAATGGAAGTGCTCTGTTCAAAGAGGCTTTGGTGTGAGTGAGAGTCCAGCTAACCCGGATGTTTACATCTTTTCAGATTAACAAGGTTTTAAATTAAGGAAAAGAATGTTTCCTGAAACTCAAACAAAAGTTTAATGAAATTCACAGTTGTCGTATTAGAAACCTGCAAATGTTTCCCGAAGCTCATTATGCTCCATCAGCCTCATTTTTTCAGACATTTACTGACTATTAATATGCCAAGTACATTCATTATCTGCAGGGTTAGCCTGGCTGCCCCAGCCCGTCGCAAGGACCCAGGGGATGTTATTCAGACAGTACCTCCGAGAGTCATCCCAGCTTCGTAGCACTTCCGCAGGCGGCAGGATGGGCAGTTTTTCCTCCTGAACTTGTCGATGGTGCAGTCATTCCGGCTGGCACAGAGGTACTTCTGTTTACCTGCAAACATCAGAGGAAACGGCAGATGGGTGGTGGGTACCGATCAGACCGGGTTTACAAGGAGAAATGGGCTCACGCTTTCTCAGTGTCACCAGGGTCACCGGCATCGCTGGAGGAGAGAGAGGAGAGGGGAAGGGGAAGGGGAGGGGAAGGGGAAGGGGAAGGGGAAGGG